GAACCCTATGGCGAAATTTGCCTTGGGTTTCGACCAGATTCGGAGGGCGGAACGGATTAACCGGATTTACATTGAACCCTATGGGGAAATTTGCTTCAGGTTACGACCAACTCGGGATACGTCCAGAGTCACGGAACGGATTAAGTTTGTATCCCGAGGTACCACTGTAATATTTGCTTCGGGGTGCGACCAGATTCGGAGGGCGGAACGGATTAACCGGATTTACATTGAACCCTATGGGGAAATTTGCTTCAGGTTACGACCAACTCGGGATACGTCCAGAGTCACGGAACGGATTAAGTTTGTATCCCGAGGTACCACTGTAATATTTGCTTCGGGGTGCGACCAGATTCGGAGGGCGGAACGGATTAACCGGATTTACATTGAACCCTATGGGGAAATTTGCTTCAGGTTACGACCAACTCGGGATACGTCCAGAGTCACGGAACGGATTAAGTTTGTATCCCGAGGTACCACTGTATTTCGACTCTCTCTGCAGTGATTAATTCTAGTGTAAGCTCAAGTACCACTTAATGGGCCATTAAGACTTCCATGAACATATGGATGGTAAAAATTGAGAAGGGACACTATGAAGCACAAAAAAGTCAGAATGTGGTTTCTTGAATAAAGCTCCTAGTACTGAACTTTATCTTGCCACCTTGATTAGCCAATGTTAACTAATCCATAAAAACTTATGTTATCTCAATCATGTAGTTAAAACACCACCTATATTACATCCAAAGTCCACTCACTTTTGGGCCTGGGGGTCCTTGTTTTCCTGGAGGACAAATACAAGGAGGTGGTGTAGATCCTACATCACTAGGTCCATTCATGCACTATTAAAGACAAAAATTATTCTCAAATACCAACTCCAAAATAGTTTTTACACTTATTCCACAAAATCCCCAAAGAAAATCAACCAGCTTTGCTGATACAATAGCAATTTCAAAACCCTAACAAGAATTCATTGTAGAAATCAGAGGGCAGCTTTAGTTTCCAAGAAGATAACTTAATTATTCCCACAGATTTTCTATGGAAAAAAAATTGTAATTTAAAATCTCAGTCTCCTGGGTGCTTTTCCACAGAATCTCTTGTTGTGACCCTAGCTCCTCCCATCTGGGGGAGATGGACAATTCTGAAGGATACATGAAACAGATATAGAAAGACATAAAAAATGAGGCAATCAGTCAGTGGTAAACCACTTCCTTTATATTCAAAAGTTCCCAGGCTTAATCTTTGGCATTGCCTGATGAAATTTAAAAGATCAACCACCAATTAGAAGAAAGTTTTCTTCATGAGACACTGGAGTTTAGCTGCCATTCAAAATAGATTCTATTAGTTAGAACAAGGATGCACAAGCTGCACCCCTGGATGGAAGCCTTTCGGACCATAACTGCTGAAAACCGAAGGCACAGCTTCCTCTTATCTTGAGGAAGGGGATAATTTATTCCTGTAGTGTAAATATTAAACAGGCGCATCACAATTAAAAAATAAAGAACCTCCCAAAACATAAACCATCCCACCTGTGTAATATGTCCCCACCTACAGAGTCACCCTCTCAGCCCACTCCTGGGTCAGATGGAGAAATAGTCTGACCTGAGATAAAGGAATCTGCTAGGTTCCCCTGACAAAGAATGCTGCTATGATCCCAAAAAAAATGTCCAGAACAGTAAGTCATATAGAATGCCAAGGGATGGCCTTCTATGAAGACAAAATAATTCTTGCTCTTATTGTCAGTAAAAATAAATCTTTTTATGCCTAACGGTAACAGCTGTATTAGGAAAAAAATGTGCTCCAGCTATCAGAATGTTTCACATAGAAATGCTTAAGCATTATATGTTTATTGCAAAGGACAAAGTAACAAGTCCACACATTTTGAAATGTAACGATTATCCATCAAAGTTTTCTCCTGGGCCTGTATTAGAGAAATTTCCAGTGAATCATCTCTTATATTTTCCAAATTCTAGATATTTTCTCCTTTCATTTATTAATTGAAACAGATCACTAAAATTACCTCATAATACAACTGCAAACAATTGAATACTTTCTAGCACCTTATTTGCATTAAAAACAAGTATGTCCATTTTCTATACTGTATATGCATACACGTAGAATATAAATGTGAATTGTGTATGTGTATTTTATACACATAGACTTATTTCATCAAAATGAGCATTGAATGCTCCTAGTAATACAAAAATAGTTTACTAATGAGTAATGGAAGATAGTTTGCACACCAAATTTAGTTCAAGATAACGTGGAAATTAAAATAAATGTCAATAGAATTATTCACTTAAGGAAGATTCCTCAGCCTAGAGGTGAAAAAATGTTTTGCAAAAATAAACCCCCACATTTCCTTCCACCCCATATTCCAAACAAACAGTATATTCCTACCTCATGTGGTTAATAGTAACTTTACTAGAAATGTGAGAGAGGAAAGGTAAATGTTACCTTATGTTTGTATGAATATGCATTGTTTGGCCTACCTCTCCATTCTAAAATGAAAAGAAAAAAATTGATAGAATTAAAACTTCTCCTAAAATAGGCATACACAAGCAAGCTCTCCTTCTGCATCCTTTTAAACTGCCAAAATCACAAAACTAATCTCTGACCGTGTCTCCCTGGAACTCTCTAACACAGTGTTTCTCAACCTTGGCGAGTTTAAGATGGGTAGACTTCACCTCCCAGAATTCCCCAGCCAGCATGGCTGACTTAAACTTGCCAGGGTTGAGAAACACTGCTCTAACAGCTCTTGAAAGAGATCTATAAATACTTCTCTTAGTCAGGGGCAATCACCCACATCTGGGGGGGAAAATCATCCCAGTGGAATTTTTAGGCAAATTGTCTGATGGACAGCAGCCTAAATTCCTAGATTGTTTATATTAACACAGTTTTAACACAAGTCTTTTTCTTTCTATTCTTTCTGCCAAAAACAAATCCATTCTCAGAATCTCTTTTCCCCAGCTCGATTTTTATTGAGAAATATCCAGCAGTTCTTAATAATCTTCTATAATACTCACAAAGCCAGGTATCTCACAGGCTGTTTCACGGTTGTTTTGTTCTGGGCTGCAGTAAATCCTTAGCTTTTGGACATCAAACTGTAATACAGAAATAATGCATTCTTGAGATAAGCACTTCTTATGACATCTAATTAAGATGCCTTTATATAACCAAAAAGTGCATCATAATCTACTCCTCCATGTTCAGTGACAGAATACACTGCTGGGGTTTCAATGGGCTTCATGGACATGGGGTCCTGCAACTTGGGATCCCATTCCTGGTGACTAGTTCCAAAGTGCTCCCCACAAAACAGTTTTAACAAAGGGGAGGGGGAGTGAGCAAATAAAAAATACACGGAAGTCCATATATTTTTAGATATGATGGGGTCGCACTATTTGCTTCAGCCGAATAGTGCTTAGTAGAAGATACCACCTGAGCAACAGCAAATTAAGAGATGCCTTTGAAAACAGGGTGACCTGATGGGACAACTAGCCTATTGACTGAACTTGGTTAACAGTGACCAACCTGGGAAATACTGAACAAAAAATAGGTCAATGAATACATAGTTAAAGAAGCCCATTCTGCAGATCTGTACTTTCCACCACCACCCTCCCCCAATTTTTTGCAGAAGCACTTCAGTTAACTTTCTTCTAACTGTGTTATAACTTAACATTAAAATTACAGATCATTCTGCTATCTTATGTTATGAAATTATGAGGTGCTCCAAATGGCATTCTGCCTAGAAATACAGTGGTACCTCGAGTTACGAACGCCTCTGCTTACGAATTTTTCGTGTTACGACCAGCTCCAGCCCCAAAAATTTACCTCATGTTGCGAACCACCTCGAGTTACGAACCGGATCCGCAGCCATTTTCCCTCCTGTGACACGTGGTCCACGGCCATTTTCTGCCCTTGACACGTGGTCCGCGGCCATGTTTCCACCCGACACGTGGTCCACAGCCATTTTTCCGCCCAACACGTGGTCCGCGGCCATTTTTCCGCCCCTGACACGTGGTCCGCGGCCACTTTTCCGCCCCTGACTCTCCCTCCAAGCAATAGCCA